AATTAATTAGGATTTTTAATTTAGAGCGTGAAAGAGATATCGAGGGAAATTGAATCTATAATTGCGCTTTTCTTTCAAACCTTTGCTGTTATGGTCTTGTTCTTGTTTTTATTTTAGTTAGTAATTAGTTTTTATTCAAATCTTTTATTTGAATTGTCTAACTTAAGCAAAAATAGTGAATTTGTACTTAAAGTATGTTTAAAAAATGTGTCGAAATATGTCAGAAAATTAATCGCATGTCGGAGTATATCAGTGTCGAACACGTGTCCGACACGCACAATTCACAAAAAAGAACGAGTCTGTTATTTCAGAGAATATCATTACTATTATATAAATATAAGATAAGATATTTTATAATATATAAATATTATAGAATATCTAAATAATATTGGAATATAAAAAAGAATGTGTCTAGCATTATAAATAACAGTGGGACTGATTCTTCTTAGGGAAATCATTTTCTTATGTAATAGGAGATAGTTTTCTCATGTTGTGAGACATCGAAATTCGTGCTATCTTTTTAGTTTTTTCTTCTTTTTTAATAAGTGGTAGGCCCCACCACTTATTGTGTCTATGACATGAGAGATGATATCTCATGTGACATGAGAAAAGAGAAGCCCTTCTTCTTATTATGGTGTTATTTTGCAAGACAATTTTCTTCGTGATTTGATAGGTTTAGATGCTGATAAATGTCAAGTCATCGCAATAAAGTGGTCGATAATTTATCCCATCTGACTGGGTCTTCTAATTTCTGCATATGCACGGCTTTTTTAAGCCGACGTTAGTTTATTTGGATTTTTGTTTTTACGGCATAAGTTACTTATAAATTAAAGTTAAAAATAAAAGTTTATGTTATCAAAAAATAAAATAAAAGAAAATTAAAAGTTGTTTGATAATTATATAGAATTTTTAAATTTAAAAGCACATATTTCAAGAAAATTATCTTTCTTTCTATCTTTATAATTCTTTATTTAAAAAAAAAAAGCACACAATTCATGAAAAAAGATAAGAGCTTAAAAAAGTTCTTTTTGGGAACCTTTAACTTTCAGATTTTTTTTTATTATAAAAAAAAAAACTTTTTATTATAAGAGCTTTTCTTAAAACCTGTTTGACTTAACTTATGCTTATAAGTAACTTTTATCTTAAAAATAAGAGAGACACCATGTCACCGCACTACTAATATTGTGCAAAAATTTATCTTCTTCAAAGCACATATATAAAGTTTTACTATAGTAGTCAAATACATCAACTAATTTGACGTATTCAGTTCCGTTAATAATTCCCACGCAACTCATGTCCACATCATCAAATTGCATAAGTTTCATGCCACATGGTATGATTCGATTGAGTCTCATCACATAAGTTGACGACACTATTTGCGTCAAATAAATTGACATCACTTGACTAATCGCATGTGGATCTTTAATTAACATTATTCTTTAGTAAAACACTAAATATAATTACTATTTAATCATTACATTACAAGTTATTTATTTTATTAAATAGATTTCTATCATAGGATATGCTAAATTATAATTAATATTTGATTATTTTTATACAAATTCAAAGTTTCATAATTCAGTTTAAAAAAAATTCATAAATCATATTTATTATTTAGTTAAAACACTAATTATAATTACTAAGTAATTATTGCATTACTAATTACATATTTTAGTAAATAATTTTCTATCCTAGGGTTAATATTTAATTAAAATACTAATTATATACTATTTATAATTATAATTATTTTATTTAATTACTACTTCATTATTTTCTATCACAGGGTACCATAAATTATAATTAATATACAATCATTTCCATACTAATTCAAAGTTTCATAATTCAGTTTGCCAACAAGAAGAACAAACTTTTATAAATCATATTTATTATTTAGTTAAAACACTAATTATAATTACTAAGTAATTATTGCATTACTAATTAATTATTTTATTAATAGTTTCCTATCCCATGATTAATATTTAATTAAAATACTAATTGTATACTAATTATGATTATGATTATTTTTTTTAATTACTACTTTATTATTTTCTATCATAGGGTACCCTAAATTATAATTAATATTTAATTATTTCTATACTAATTCAAAGTTTCATAATTCAGTTTACCAACTTTTTCTCTTCATATATCCTATTTATTATTTAGTTAAAACGCTAATTATAATTACTAAGTAATTATTACATTACTAATTAATTATTTTAGTAAATAGTGTTCTATCTTAGGGTTAATATTTAATTAAAATACTAATTATAATTATTATTTTATTAATTCATTATTTTCTTAAATATGTTTTGTATCCTAGGCTTTCTTTAATTATATTTTTTATTTAGTTAAAACACTAATTATAATTATTATTTAACTATTGCATTACTAATTAATTACCTTACTAAATAGGTTTCTATACTATGGTATCCTAATTTATATTTAATATTTAATTAAATCATTCATTATATACTAATTATAATTATTACTATTTAATAATTTAATTACTACTTAATAATGTGATTTCTATCTAGTGGTATAATTACTATTTAATTAAAAATACATTCTATACTCAAAATTTATTAAAAAAAATTAACCTAGGGTTTTAATTATATTCTATAATAGGACTTTTATTCCTATCAAATAATGTAATAACTAATAACTAAATTAAATAACAAAATTTAAAAGACAATTAAAATAAATAACACACTTCTACAACATACCTAGGTAGCTGCATGAACAGGAGGCAGAAGTAAGAGAGAGAAGAGAGGCAGCACTCCTTTGGCTAGAGAGAGAGGGGGAGGAATTTAGAGAGAAGGAAGGGAAAAATTTTAGAGTGTGCAAATGTAAAAATGAAAACGCACAGGGAGAAGGTGCAGTGGTTGGTATAAAAGGAGAGAACGATCAATGTATATGACGCAACTGACACGTGGTGTCTATTTAGTAGACCGCTCCAAGTATCGTCACTTTTTGTGACACGATTACGTGGCATCAACTTATTTGACATGAGTTACATCAGAATTGTTGACGAGATTGAATGCGTCAAGTCAAGTAACGCGTTTAACTTCTCTCGTATGGCAAAACTTTGCAAATGTGCTTTGAATAAGACAAATTTTTGCACAATATTTGTAGTACAGTGCTTTTGCCGGTAAAATTATGTTTGCAAACTTTTTTTATAGTTCATTTTTCTTTTATATGTTTTGATTAAAGTGGTGCGAAAATAATATAAGAGAATAATAAATTTATTTCTAACAATAAATTTTGGAAATTATATTTATAATGAGGTAGGATTCTTTCATATCAAATCTCAACCGTTGATTTTCATCAATCTAATGGTTATAATTAATTGTCCTAATAAATTATAACTATTAGATTAACGAAAATCAACGATTGAGATTTGGTTACAAATTTTTAGTTTAACATTGATGTCAAATGATTCTATAATATTTATAATATTATACCCGTTTTACAAAAATTTATTATTGTTATATGTTAAGTCGTGTTTAAAAGAAACAACTTTATACTACTAGAAAAAACTTCTATAGCGAGGGAATTGTTATGGAAATTCTGTCGCTAATTTCATCCTTACTACTACTTTCTATCGCAAATTTCCTCGCAAACGATTGAATAAATTCTCAGAAAATAGGCAGATTAATTTATGAGACTAATTTCATTATTGATGAGATGGGATGAGTTACCACCAGCAAAATAGGCATTGACAACCTGATATTGAATAAATTCTCTCAAAGATTAACAAAGGAACATGGTTTTCAAGGAATTTAAAAAAGGTGACAAGATATAAGCAAGTAGTAAGGAAAAGAATGATCCTGGACATCAGAAAAGACATATGTATTCCCTTAAATAAAAGTATAAAACAATCAAGTTCCTAAGCATCAGCTAAAACATTTCAATTTCAATTAGTCTCATAAACTACTAAGCTGCCATTCACTCGCTATTAACAGATTAGATACATCTACTTTTATTCTGAACTTAATTCCAAGAACAAAATTCAACTCAAGATGATATGATCACTTCATTCTTTCTATAGATATGTTGAAGCTCCCGAGTAACAGCTTGGGATGATATTGATAATAAGGGGGAGAATAGATTAATTAAAAGTAGAAAAGACTGAAGAATTTGTGTTGTACTTGTATATAACCACCATAAACAATTGGAGCAAGGAATAGGTCATCCAGATGTCTTTAACTAACCATAATCATCCAAACTGAAAATTCTCTTTACCTTTCCAAATACGAAAGTTCTTTCGATCGGTTGATGTGGGAGCCAGTCACTTTTTAATTATTGCATCAAAATTTAGCATCTCCCGAGTAGTGTTTTTCATATGCTCATATGTTTAGTCTTTGCACCTGACAGATTTCAACATATGAGCAAAATCACTTAGATTATGCAGATTAAAAAAAAATAAATTCATTTTACATTTAGCATATTTTAAAAACAAAATAAAAATAAGCACTAAGATTTATCTGGTGACGAGAAATTTGAGTAATTTGCACAAGGTAATAATTCAAATCTCAATGCCGCCGTTGTATTCAAAAAGTAAAAAACAAAATAGAATATTATTGTTTTATTTTATTTTGTTATTATTCGCACACTAAACACTATCGTACACTGTATCATTAAAAAAAATGCTTTTGCATTGTGGAGGACTTAAATATTGATGATATTTATAATGATGAAATTTCTTTCATGTCAATAATATAAAGAAAATTAAAATAAATTATCAAATAACACTTATTACTTCCTTCAGAACATTTAATTATAGCTATTAAATTCTAATAAATGATAATTAATGAAACTGAACTTGACTTTAGGCCCGGAAACGCAAACAATTAAATAGCAATAACTGCAGAGCGAATGGTCCCTCCCATACAACAGCGCGCCGTTACAATTTCACTTTAAGGCTTAACATAACGCAATCATGATCTAACGGTAAGACGACAAGATAACAACAGATAAGGCCATCAAGATCCTGACACGTGTCATGACTGACCAGAGGCGTAAAGCATGAACTCAGGATCAGACTCGAGCCGCGCCATCGTTTCAGGCGCCAAAACCACCTCCAAATCGACGGCGCCGCCACCTTCCCTAGCCGGAAACGCCGACATTTTCCCGTCAAACTTATTTGCTCCGCCGCTCCGCACCGCCAAGGGCCTCCCCCATCCAAAATCATTGTCGTACATTGGGAATCTCGGCGAGCTTCCCATCTGCAACGTTGCTCCGTCGTGGTTCCCCAGCGGGAAGCACTTCGGGTCACGCTCCCAATCCTCTATGGCCCGCCTCACCATAGCGCTATCGTAAGCCCTCACGTTCTTGTTCAGCTCCTCCGCGCACCACCACAAATTCCTAGACACCACGTCGCCCGCGGCGGCGCACGTGGGTATGCTCTGAATCGCGTTCCCGAAGTAGTAATCCCCCAACTTAGGCTCTAGACGGTTGCGAATGTTCACTGCCATTCTAAACGTCGTCGTTTTCGTCCCTAGAAGATTCCTCGCGCGCGTCACGCATTGCCACATCAGCGCGCACAACGACTGAAACGACGAGATCTCAGTCGTTTCGACGGTTTCAGTTTCCTTTCTCGTAACCGTTTTCAGTTGAGGGTCGTTGTTCAGCTTCCCCATCAACTCAACGGCACCAACGTTTTCCCGCCACGTTTGGTTCACTCTCGCTTTCAGCTTCTGAATGGCCACGCGCCCGAAGCTGAAAATCCTCTCGCGCAAGGCCTCGTCGGGGTTGAACGTCACCGTGATGTCATCACTTTCCGGCAACAGGAGCACGACCTTCGAGATCAGGATGGATTCCCGGCGGAAGTCCGGGACCCTGGAGGCACACGTGGCTCCCCTTGAAACATCGGCGAAGGTGTTGAAGAAGTTCCATAAAGATGTACCGTCGGTGACGGCGTGGTTGACGGCGCAGCCGATGAAGACGCCGTCGGCGAGCTCGGTGACCTGAACGGCCATGATGGGAGAGAAATGGGCGGTGTAGTTGATTTTCCGGTGAAAGGGGAAGAGTTCCGTGAAGGCATGAGGTACATCGGGTGGGGACAAGAGGTCGGCGATGTTGAGGTCGGTGGCTGTGGCGTGGATGAAATCGACGCCGGCGTCGTTGCATGTGATGTAGATGTAGCCGTGAGAGTCAGTTATGAATCTGCCGGCGAGTGGGGGAAAGAGAGATAGAGCGCGTGATAGGGAAGTGATGAGGTGAGGAATGAGAGTGTGAGAGGGAAGAGACGGGGTTGTGAAGAGACAACCCTTTTGGATGTAATGGCAAGAGAGCATGTTAAGGTCTGAGATAGAGAGCTTGAGGTCTTCCATAGTTGATTTCTGGTGAGGGAAGACACTGCATTTTGAGAGGATAGTGAGTGCACTAGAATCAGAAGAAGATGAAGAAGGCATTTTTGAACGTAGTAATAATAATAATAATAATAATTATTATTATTATATGTATATTCTTGAGTACCAAAACTCAACACAAGGTGGTAAAGGAACTTGGCCTGTGCTCTGTTTATATAGGCCACCAAAAGGTGTGATGGTTCGTTTTGTAAAATTTTATTATAATTGCATATTGTGTTCTGTTATTTTTTAACTTTGTAAACAACTTTGGGATACACCACTCCAAAAGCTAGCTCAAAGATGGGAGTGCCCAAGGCCTTATAAAGGTCATATTAGTTGCTCACCCAATCAATGTGAGACTATATATCTCAACACGCCCCCTCACGCAAGAGCCCTTTAGGCTAGAAGCGTGAAAATTGCACAAGTCTATTTTTGGTTTACCTTTTGTGCTTTTCTTTATTTTTAATTCCACTTTAAAGCGAGGGAAGGTGAGGCTCTGATACCATGTGGGAGTGCCCAAGGCCTTATAAAGGCCATATTAGTTGTCCACCTAATCAACGTGGGATTATATATCTCAACATGCCCCCTCACGCAAGAGCCCTTTAGGCTAGAAGCGTGGAAATTGCCCAAGCCCATTTTTGGTTTACCTTTTGTGCTTTTCTTTATTTTTAATTCCACTTTAAAGCAGGGGACAGTGAGGCTCTGATACCATGTAAAGAACCTTGGGATACACCACCCTAAAAGCTAGCTCAAAGGGTGGGAGTGACCAAGACCTTATAAAAGTCATATTAGTTGTCCATCCAATCAATGTGAAACTAAATATCTCAACAAACTTATGTACATTCTATATATGGATATATTAGTTTTTTTGGTGTGTGATCATCTTTCTTTTTATATTGTAGCTGCACCTTATGAGGGGTAGTATATATGATTGAATATCTGAACATTAAAAGTGAATTTTATTACATCCCAGTTTTACAATAATTATTATTTAAAGTTTTATATTAAGATTAAACAATTATTAAATATTCTTAGCTTTTAAGAGAATATAATTTATTAGATTATATTAACTTCTCACTCTATTAATACTTTCTTATTTTATTTATTAAAAAATTAAAAGTAATTTCTATCTTTTAACTGTCCAATTGTATTAATAGCCCATGGGTTTGGTGGTTGTCTTTTTAAAAAAAATATATATAAAATTGTATCATTTTAAGTGAGAAAAAGTGATACACAATGAAAATTATAGAAAAAAAAAGTGAGAATTTTTTTAATTTCAATTTTGAATAAAAAATATTAGTTTAACTAAAATAACCCTCCTTGAAAAATACAAATATTTTTCCCATAGCCAATTGGGTTTGCGTGATAAGATTAAAAGCCACAAATCAAAGCAAGGGAATATCAAATAAAAAGATTTTACATTAATTTATCAAATCTTCTTTTCTTGTCCCCAATTGGTTGATAGCTAAGAAATTGAATTAATTTTGGAAATATTTTTGCAAGTTTTCAGTTTTTCTTTTTAAAAAAACTTACTTAGGTAGTATAAATTTTTAAATATATTTTAAATTAATACATTTTCTTTTTTAAAAGAACACACGGCCCTAATCATTACTAGTTGAGTCACTCTATCCGACTATCATCTGTCTTAGAGTCGGTGCTAGTCAAGGTATAATACAAAATAAATTTGATACCATTAGAGAAATAAAAATAAATAAAAAATGGTTAATATCGTAAATATATAAATAAGTGATTAGTCATATTATTATTTAAAACTAAAATATCATCATTTGAATTAAGGAATACAATCTTACCAAAAGAAGAGGAAATAATTTCTAGCAGAAAAGTGATACATATATAAAGAAAATGGATTCTTTCATTTGATATGAGTATATATAGGAGAATCTCAATTATTTAACTATAAATTAATGGTTGTATTATTTTATTCTATAATATATCATATTTTCTACTTGAATAATTGAAATTTTCTTATCTTCCATGCCATAATAGGTAATGGATAAAATATGTAAAAAAATAAAAAATATATATATATGTAACGATATTGCTAATAACCTCTTATTCTCACATAGATTTGTTGCTTTATTCCAAATCCAATACAGAATTATCCTTCACAGACTTTTCCGTCCGGACTGTTTGAAATGAAAGATGGCATCACTTTAATTCTTTTCACAAATCATTAAACGCTTATGGAGAATATCTATATTTAAGTCACAGCATCACCTTATGTATAAATTTTGAAAAAGGTTATACTTATAACTTTTTTTTTTTACAATCTCTTACAATCATATTTTAATATTATTGATTTTCGCCAATCAACGGTTATCATTTATTGTGAATTAATAATTAATTAATGAGTTTAATTTGCGAAAATCATAACTGTTAATTGGCGATGTTAAGATATGGTTGTAAGAGATTATAAAAAAAGTTATAAGTATAACCTTTCTCATAAATTTTATAAAAATAAATAATGTAACATACATATTCTGGTTATGCATGTTCAAATCGTGCATGCCTCTAATATATATCTTGCAGAGTGTGACATGTGATATATATTTTTTTAAATTTTACATAAGTTGTCTCTTATGAAAATGATTCACGATTTAAACAGACACACTATTCCTACTCATTTTACTTGTATTAACTAGATAAATAATTTTAAAAAAATAAACTACTGCTATATATCTTTCAATTTTTGCACTACAAGGATAAAATTAAAAAGCCTCCGGTTTATGTACCCAAAAAAAAAGCCTCCGGTTTGTAATCTGAGTTGATTTGACACAATGCAATGCCCGATCCGATTTGTCGCCTATTGCGGATCTCTTTTTCGCCACTCGAAAATACCATATCATAGACCAATCCAAGACGGTTCTATGCCCTATTTTATATCAAACAAATAACTAAAAAATAAATAAAAATTCATAGACAGCAACATGATAAGGAGAATAACCCTGCTAACTGTGCAAAAGTACTTAATGCGAAGCATATTGTGTATTTTGGTAATAGTAAAATCTTAATTGATTAATATTCAATAGCGTTGCTCCCATGGCGTAAGGGATGAACATCTTATTCTATAATACTAAAAAAAAGGAAATAATAGTTCATACATGATATAGCCATTGGCATGTAAAACCTAAAGAATGCTAATTGCAAATTTTACAAATGGATATTATTGTACAGCCTCGGGTACCCAGTAGATACCATCTAGCTAGCTAGATAAGTCTACTAATTAATGATATTGCTTAATAGAGCAATCTGATTTGGATTAGACTTCTTCTAAATGATTATATTATAAATGAAACTCATTTCCCTATAAATTAAATGTTAAAAATATTTATATCTAAAGGAAACACAAGTTGCAGGAGAATCTATGTAATGTGTTAGGCTGTTAGCTAATCTTGAATTCTCACATTTCCTTTTTTGTTATTTTTTTATGTTATTAGGATACATGAACCCTATTTTATGTTTTGGCAAATGAACAAGGTGACTTAGATTTAAGACCATCTCGTTCAAAAAAGATCGATTGAAGTGTTGAACCAACCTATCCACACGACCACGTTCCACAGCCGCCATTTTTTAATTTTTGGTTTTTGTTTATATATTTTGAAATTTTTATTTAACAAATTATTTATTTATAAAAAAGTTTAAATATGTACTTATTATTAAAATTATTACGACAACCTTTGGGTTTTTTGAATTTTTATATTTTTGCAATATATATAACGTAAGCTAGCAGTCCATTGGTCTGTGCATGGTCTGGTGCACTTCGTTTTAAGTAATTAATTAATAAAAGAAAAGTGATAGTTATATTATATAATGAAAGTATTTCATAGGAATCTCACAAAGTTCATCATCATTTTTAATTAGGTTTCATTTCTCTCTCTCCCGGCCCCCTCTTTTAAATTATCCAAGGCTCCCAACGAGTATGGGAGTTTCCTGTGTTTGTTTCTTCTATACAAGTAACAAGTGTCTTAAAAAAATAATGTGTTATGCCACTAGTATGGTCTGTAATGCATATTTGTCTAGGTTCTAAGAACCTAGTTGAAATTCAATGAGTTAGTTTAGTTTATGATCAAATTGTATGTGAATAATGCTAACTATGTCAAGGCTGTAAAGATTATTTTTATGAAAATACATTTTTTCTTATCAATATTGATATTTAATAGCCAAATAAAATCACCATTTTGTTTATGAAAGAATTTTTTTCATTGTAAATCTCTTAATATCGTTTGAATGGTCTACTTCAAAGTTGTAAATGGCTCCAATACACAAGCCGAATTTTTAAATTTAATATTTGTAATAATGATTTTCTATTTAATAATTAGATATTTCATACGTACTTTAAGTAGTAATTTAAAAAAAAAATTATATATAAAATATTTGCTTCGTTCTGTCAATATGAATTTTTTCAATTTTTTTATATTTTTAAAATTATAAAATAACGTCTTTTAAAATTATAGTATATAATTTTATTTTTAGTAACTAGAAAACACTAAACCCTTATATACACACAAAAAAAAAAAAAAAAACACTAAACCCGTATATGAAAAGATTAACTTATAAATGTTACATTCATTATTGATCAATAATTTATTATTATTTATTCTCGAAAAAAAATTATTATTTCAAAATTGCTGGAAATAATTTTATTTCTAACAAATGATATCAAAGATTAATAAATTAATCCTTTATGAAATATTTCACTGCGGAATATTTGATAGTGTTGCTACTACAACGTAACAGATGAACTTCTCTTATTTAATAAGACTGAAAGAATAGAAAATGAATTCATACATAATATAGCCATAAACGTTACGAAACCTAAACAATTCTAATTAAGAAAAAATGTTTGACAACATTTACTCACCCTTAGCAAGCTATTCTGTGGAGTGTGCATAAAAACAATCTTTGAAGTAAGTTTTAATTACTTATAAAGTATAAATTTTATCTTTGAATTTTAGTGTAATTATATTTATTAATTGCCTTATTTTATATACGTGCAGGCACAAAACAATGAAAATAGAGAAAGGATGATTAGTGAAAATGGA